TAATAAATTAACTAAAATTTAATTACTAATTACTAATAAATTTTACTAATTTAAAAGCAAAAAGTTAGTCACATTAGTAAACATTTTTACTAATTCAAATGAAGAGAGTAAAGATTATAATTTTGATACTTTGTACAAATTTTTTTTTTAGTGTAATTTTCTTATTATAATTAATATTTCAAATTCATTTAATTTAATTTGACTTGATTTGATTGGAAAAATGAATTATTTTCCAATACAAAGACTGCTTTTTAGTCGTTAAGAAATCCTTGAGATTTAGGCCACTTGTTATAATGCTTCACTGCAGCATTTGTATGTCTTTTATAAAAGTCGGTATTCTAAATTTATATCTATTCAAAAAATAATATCTCGATAGAAAAGAATATGTCAGCAATGGTAAACAATATTTTTGTTATTAATTACTTTTTTTTGCGTCCAGAAAAGTCATGTGCTTTTTAGAATTAAAATTCTATTTTTTTCTGTCTTTAGTCGAAAATTTATATTTTCTCAAAGAAATTTAATTTAAAATTGAATTTAATAGAAATTTATTTGATTGAAACGATTTATTACTTGACTATTAGTAAATAAATATTTACTTCAATTAAATAATATTTACATCCAGAGACAAAATGTATTTCACTTAGAGGCTATTAAATTATTTGTTGTAAATAAAAATTTTCTGTGACAAATGTACTTTTATTTGATTCAAATAAATTATATTTGGTTCAAATATAAATTAGTAACTGACTTTTTGCTTTTAAATTAGTAACTTTTAGTAAGAAATAGTAATTTCTACTAATTTATTAGTAAAATTTACTAATTAAAAGGGAAAAGACAGTCAAATTAGCAAACATTTTTATTAATTCTAGAGAGTAATTTTAATTTTTAGACTAAAATTATTTACTAGTTAATTAGTTAATTTCCAATAGTAATTAGTCAATTTCAACTAATAATTAGTTACTTTCTGCTAATAATTAGCTGCTTTCTACTAATAATTAATTACTCTCTAATTTTTAATAAGTTTTAATAAAAAATTAGAAGAAATTACTATTTATTAATAAATTTTACTAATAAATTAATAGAAATTTTATTTATTAGTAAAATTTACTAATTCAAAAGCCAAAAGTTAGTCATTAATTCAAATTAGAAAACATTTTTACTAATTCAAATTTAGAGAGTAATTATTTGCTTGTAATTATGTACTCTATTTCCAATATTAATAGTAATTAGTTCATTTCTACTAATAACACAGCCACACAAAAAAAAAAAAAAGTTCTGATCTGGGGGTCTCACTATGTAGACTTTATGTTTTTTGGGTCGCTGAATCCGAATCCGAGGTCCATTTAACCCCATCAGATCAGGATTTTGACATAACCTCAAAAAACCAATATGGCGGACACATTTTTGAAAAGTTCATCGGATTCGCTTGAAATTCGTTACTCGGGGGTTTTTGGGGTCGCTGATCAGAACTGTTTTTTTTTTTTTGTGTGGCTGTGTAATTAGTTACTCTGTAAATTTCAATTAGTAAAAATGTTTATTAAATTGAAATAGTAACTGATTTTTTGCTTTTGAATTAGTAAATATTAATAAAAATTAGTAGAATTTACTATTTAGTAGTAAAGTTTACAAAGTCAAAAGCAAAAAGTTAGTTACTAATTTAAATTAGTGTAAACATTTTTACAAATTCAAATTTAGATAGTAAATAATTATTAGTAGAAATTAGCAAATTGTTAATTTGTTATTAAAAATTAACTAATTGGTAGTAAATAATTACTCTCTAAACTTGAATTATGTAGTAAAAATGTTTACTAAGTTGACTTACTTTTTACTTTTGAATTAGTAAATTTTACTAATAAATTAGTAGAAATTTCTATTTATTAGTAAATTTTACTAATAAATTAGTGGAAATTGCTATTTATTAGTAAATTTTACTAATTTACTTAATTATTAGTTAACCTTACTTTGTCAGTAGAACTTACTATTTATTAGTAAACTTTACTAATAATTTAGTAGAAATTACTATTTATTAGTAAACTTAAATTAATAAATTAGTGGAAATTACTATTTACTAGTAAAATTTACTAAATTAAAAGCAAAAAGTCGGTCACAAATTCAAGCAAGTTAACATTTTTACTAATTCAAATTTAGAAAGTAACTAATTATTTGCAAAAATTAAATAATTATTAGTATAAAAAATAATTATTAGTAGAAAGTAACTAATTATTATAATTAACTAATTATTATTATACTAAATAATAATAAATAATTACTCTCTAAATTTGAATTTAAAAAAATGTTTAGTAACTTGAATTAGTGAATGAATTAGTTGAAATTAGTAGAAATTACTATTATTTTATTATTATTAGTAAAGTTTACTCATTCAAAAGCAAAAAATTAATCACTAATTCAAATTAGAAAAGGTTTTTTACTAATTCAAATTTAAAAAAAAGATATATTTGACTCAGAGGCAACTGACCTTTTTATTTGATTCAAAATAAATTTTATTTTGGTTGAAATAAAATAATATTTAGTTCAAATAAAAATCGCTTTTGTGTCGAATAAACCTTCTAATTAAAATTAAAACAAGTAAATAATTTAGAAGTCTTTGAGACAAATACACTTTTATTTAACTCAAATAAATTATATTTAATTCAAATAAAATTTTTCTCTGGGTGTCTAATTTTATTTACACTCAAGAAAGTAGAAGTTTACCTAATATATCAAAAATTGAAATCGAGAAAAGTAATTTAGAAAAAGTACACATTGAATTTAAAAAGACGCTAATGAATTTGAAAAGGCTTTTTTGCTACAATACATCGCCTGCAATTTGTTCCTTTGATGTTTGACATTGGCACTTCAATACAGTGCGCAAGTTATTATGTAAGACCGGTAATAGCAACTTTAAACGGATAACTAAAGCATCGCACAAGACTTATATGGTAATCAAGTTGTAAATTAAATTACTCGAGACATTTGACATGCGTTACGTTTGAGAAAAAAAAATTATCAATTTTTTTCTTTTTCAATATTGAAAAGCACATATTTTTGATTGACATTTTTCTTTATATAATAAGGGAAAAAGGGTGCTTTCTCTCATACATGCAATTACTCGCGTTTATCTTGACCTAGAAAGTATACAGTAAACTCCAGATATCTTGAGCGTGATAAACATTAAGGAACGTAAATCCCTGACATTAAATGTTAAAGCAGTGTTTAAGAGCGGTAAATGTTTGAACAAATTTTCATGCAACGAGAATATTTATTTTCAGACATGATATGATGATGATGATGATGATGAAAAATTTTTGTAAAAATGTAAACATTTTTTTTTTGCGCTCAAATGAAAATTGTGTGTTTTTTTAAAGTGATTTATTTGAATTGCTTATGATTTTTAAACAACTGTTTAGTTAATATTTCAAAAGATTTTTTTAAGCAAGAAACCTAAATATAAGTAGAAAATTCATTTTTTTTTAAATTTTCGATAACTTTGAAATATACGCGACTAAATTTTCATTGACTTGTTTTAATACTTTAATTTTATTTTATTACAAAATGTAGTTTTCTACGATTAATAAATTAATTTTTAACTCGATAAATGTTCAATGAAAATAATTTCCATCTCAGTTTATAGTAATTATAATTTTTGGTGATAAAAATATTAAAAGAAAAGTATAAAATAAAAATATGAAAAAAATATGAAAAATATGAATTAAAAATATAAATTAAAAATATTAATATTGGATGGTAAAAAATATTAAACTTTTTGCCTTTCAATTTGTTAAAGTTTAGCTATAAATAGAAAAAATAATGTTTTAATTAATTAACATTTGCATGCATTAAATATAGTTAATTGTTTTATTTATTAAATATTTTTAATTCTTGTGGGAAATAAATTTTTTTATCTTTAAAAAAGCGTAATTTTAAATAAAGAAATAAAGATGAATATTAGTAGAATAATAAATAATGATTAATATAATTAAACAACAAATATTTTATTCATTTGTTAACGCTTTTTAGCTAATAAATAAATTTAAAAACAAATTATTCCCCTTCAAAGTTTTCTTCTTTTATTTATTTATTTATTTATTTATTATTATTATTCTTACAATTTTTAATTTTATTCTGTTTTATTTTATAACAAATACTAACGTTTGCTAACGTTAGGCTAACGTTAGCTAACGTTAACTTTTGCACCTGGTAAAATGAATTCGTAGAAACTTTCCTTTTACTAATATTCATTGGTAAAATTTATTTAGTTTTTTATTTATTTATAATATTTATATGTAAATATAAAATTTAAATTTAGGTGAAATTATAAAATATTAAATTAAAAAATTGAATAACGAAAAATTAAATACTTATCAAAAGGTGTATTATTGATTTTTACCAGAATAAATTGTAGTTTCAAAAGATTTCACATAAAGTTTGTTTTTAAAAAAATTAAATATTAGAATATATTAAATTTTTAAAAAATAATTAGAATAAACAATAGAAAAGAAATGAAAAATATAAAATAAAAACATAATTATTATCAAATTCAAAAGCAAAAAGTCAATTACTAGTTCAAATTTAAATATAATGAAATTTATTTTAATAGAGTGAAGATTTATTTTTATAAAGAAAATTGCGTTAAAATATAGAAAGAATTAAAATATACAAATAATAAACAAAATGAATAAAAAATAGAAAAATAAAATACTAATAAATAGAAATAAAATAATTGCAAAAAAAAATTGATAACAGATTAATAATAGATAAAAAATAAGTAAATAATAAATAAATAAAAAATAATATAATAGTAAATAATTTATTTATTTAAAGCGAAAATTTAATGTTTAATAATAAATATTAACAAAAAGAAAGAAAGAACTTCAAGGAGAAAAAATCATTTTGTTAAACCTATTTGTTTGCTAAAAAGTCTCAAAGAAAAATAATAAAATATTTATTTACTGTTTTTTAATTATTAACTTTTTGAATAAAAAGAAAAATGTAAACTTTACCCCGGTAGATGAGATCCATATCCTTGCCGGAAGAACTGCTTCCGTTGATCTTCGGAAACAGGATCAAAACCCATAATTTAAGTTACTAAACAAACACTATTTTCTAAATAAATTATCACAGAAGAAACACAATTTTTTTTATTTAAATAACTTAAATAAAGTTGAAAATATTCACAAAGAGTAAGTGATTTTTATCAATAATTTTTTTTTTTCAAAAAAAATAAAAATAAAAAAGTGAAAATAAATAAATTTTATTTCATAATATTAGTCAAGTCACTTCGCGAATTTTGATCATTATTATCACTGGCATTTTGTATGACGCGTATTAATTCTCATGGATTACTTCATAAAGGATGATGATAATTAGATAGGTGGATTGAAATTTTGCAATTAGAATGATTTAAAAAAAGTCACGAGGTGTGTAAAAAAATGTATATATACAAGTATCGCTACTTCCTGTAAACAACTTGTACTCCACGCGGTTGGCGTGCTAGTGAAATAGATTTGTATACAGTCCGACCTAAGATCTACGTTCTAAACGTATATCAACGTATATTGAAAGCCAAGCGACGTTCTACTAAAAAGCGTTAAAGCTCCCCCTCCATTGTTCCGGTGCAGCCATAGACCGCGCCTACATTCAAAATGTACTTTATGTATTCGACTATTGTTATGTCTCTGCCGATAATTTCTTTTTTATTCCTTTTGAGTGGAAATATTTTTAGAATATAGTTTATAAAGAGTACAAAAGTATTTTTGTGTTTTCTATTCATTCACTTTTTATTGTGATTAAATGATTTTTTTATTATTGTAGGATATAGAGGTATAGAAGTTTTTTCTTTCTCTCCAAACTTGGACTAATAGTACTCTCTAAATTTGAATTAGTAATTTTTTACTAATGAAATAGTGCGGATTCGTTTACCATTCGAATTAGTAGCAGTTTTGACTAATCTTTAGTAATTTTTTACTAATTGCTAGTAGAAAACTACTAATTCATTAGTAAGCGGTTTACTAATTTTAAATAGTAAAACATACGTTCTACTAATTGAATTAGCAATTTTCTACTAGCAATTAGTAAAAAAACTACTAAAGATTAGTAAAGACTGTTACTAATTCAAATTGGTAAACAAATCCGCACTAATTCAAATTTAGAGAGTAAAAATATTTACTAAGTTTAATTAGTGACTGAATTTTTGCTTTTGAATTAGTTAATTTTACTAAAAAATTTAGTAGAAATTACTATTTGTAATTAATGTTAATAGTAACAATTATTATGTGACTGACATTTTGATTTTTAATTAGTAAATTTTACTAATAAATTCGTGGAAAAATTACTATTTATTAGTAAAATTTACTAATTGCTGACTGACATTTTGCTTTTGAATTAGTAAATTTTACTACTAAATAGTAATTTCTACTAATTTATCAGTAGAATTTACTAATTCAAAAGCAAAAAGTAGTTAATAATTCATATTAATAAACATTTTTACTAATTCGAATTTAGAAACTAATTATTCACTAGCAATTAGTTAATTTCCAATAATAATTTGCTAATTTCTACTAATAATTTATGATATGTTATCTAATCTATGATTAGTTATCTAATCTGCTAATGATTAGTTATTTTATACGAATAATTAGTAACTTGTACTACTAATTAATTGTTTTCTGTACTAAAAATTAGTTAATTTCAACTAATATTTAGTTATACGTTACATTTGAATTAGTAAAAACGTTTACTAATTTTAATTACTGACTGACTGTTTGCTCTTAAATTAGTAAATTTGACAAATAGATTAATAGAAATTACTATTTATTATAGTAAAGTTTATTTATTTTTGAATTTTATTTTTATTAATTTCTACTCATTAATTAGTAAAATTTACTAATTCCAAAGCAAAAAGTCAGTCACCAATTCGAATTAGTAAACATTTTTACTAATTCAAATTTAAAGAGTAATAATTGGCAGAAATCAAGTCATTATTAGTAGAAATTACTTATTTATTAGCAGAAATTGGCAAATTTATTTGAAATTAACTAATTGCTAATAAATAATTACTCTCTAAATTGGAATGAGTAAAAATTTTTACTAATTTGAATTAGTGACCGACATTTTGCTTTTAAATTAGTAAATTTTGCCAAGAAAATTGGTAGAAATTCCTATTTATTAGTTGAATTTACGAATTCCAAAGCAAAAATTCAGTAAGTCATTTTAATTAGTTAACATTTTTGGTAAATCAAATTGAGAGTAACTAATTATTAATAAAGTAAGTAATTTTTATTAGATTTGTAAATTTTACTAATAATGCAGTAGAAATTACTATTTATTTGTAAAATTTACCAATCTAAAGCATAAACTAATAAAAATTACTATTTCAAATTTTATTGAAGATTTTTAGTATTTCAAGTTTAGAGAGTAATTATTTACTAGCAATTAGTTGAGTTCTAATAATAATATATGCTAATTTCTTATAATAATTAGATAATTAGTTAATAGATTTCTGGTAATGATTAGTTATTTATTTAAATTTAAATTAATAAAATTGTTTACTAATCGTAATTAGTGACTAATTTTTGCTTTTGAATTAGCAAAATTTACTATAATAAATTAGTAGAAAGTATACCATTTATTAGTAAAATCTACTAATTTAAAAGCAAAAATTCAGTCACAAAGTTAAATTAGTAAACATTTTTACTAATTCAATTTTAGAGAGTTATTATTCACTTGCAATTATAGTTAATTTCCAATAATAATTAGTTAACTTCTACTAGTAATTGGTTACTTTATTACTAATAATTATTTTTTATACAAGTAATTAGTTACTTTTGTAATAATAATAATTACTTGTTTTCTGTTCTAAAAATTAATTACTTCCTACTGATAATTAGTTACTCTCTAAATATTAATTAGTAAAAATGTTTACTAATTTGAATTTTTGGACTGACTTTAGTGAGTGAAATTTACTAATTTAAAAGCTTTTGCTTTTAAATTATATAGTAAATTTCACTAATAAATTAGTATAGAAATTACTGTTTCGTAGTAAAATGTGCTGAGTAGAAAAGGAAGTTTTTAGACAGACGCGAATGAAGGTAAATAAATAATTTCTTTCCTTTCTGTCTGTCAATTCAATTGTCTGACTAGAAAGTCCTTTTCTACTTATATTTGCCTTGTTTTCATCAATTTTCGAATTCACTTGTCTTGCTAAAATGGCATCTTCTACTTATATATTTAAATCTAACTATTTATAGTTTTTATGTAAAATTAATTACTCTTGAAAATTAAAACTATATTTTAAGCTAAAATTTTGTTAGCACTTCTTTTTTTTTAATTATTTGCTGAGTAAGCCAGAAAGAAATTTGCCTGACCAAAAACACTATCTTCCACTTAGTTTCCTAACTACATCCCCTTTTGTCTGACTTGGATTTTCTTTCTCTACTTACATTCGATTCATTTTAGTTTGTCAAGTGTAAATTCGTGTTTTTCTTTTTTGCAAAAATTCTTGCTAAAAATTTATTCTCTATTATAATAATATTACCAATAATAATATTTTTAATTTAGGCCCTGAATATATTTTTTACTCCCAAGCTAAATGAAAAAAGTAAAATTAGCGATATTTTCATCTCTAGAATGTTCAAAAAATAGTTCGATGGTAAATTCAGGGACATCTTTGTTTTGTTGTTTAAATTATCAATAGACAAAATTTTGTCTGATCAAAAACAGATTTTTCCACTTAATTTTGTAATTGCGTTCCTCTTCATTTTTTGTTTCTATTATATTAAACTATTTTAACTTGTATTGTATATTTGTATTTATCATTTCTTTCTTTTCTACCCATCATCTCATTTGTCTGACAATAGATACCTTTCTCTACTTACCTAACTTTATAATTGCATCTCACTTTTACTTTTCGTTGACATTCAACTTTTATTTTTAATTATATATTTATCATTTTTTTCCTATTTATCAAATTAGTTGTCTGGCCAGAAATTTCTTTCTCTACTTCATTGTATTTTATTTCAGTTTGTCAAGGTTAAATTCGATTTTGCCTTGCTAAAAATTTCATTTCTCACTAATTCATCAATAAGTTATATCTTTAAAATAGATTTTTGTTTGTCTGACTAAAAATTATCTTTTCTACTTTTTATCATTCTATTCTTTATTTATTGGTTTATAGAACATTTGTTTATATATCAAATCGCTTCTCTTTTTTAATTTTTTTCCTCTTCTATATTTCAATTTATTTGGCTTGTTAAAAATTGCTTTCTCTACTTATTTATATTTAATTTCTCAAATACTGTCTGACTAAAAATTGTTTTTTCTACTAACATTTAGCCACAGGTCAGGGAAATCAGGAAAAAGTCAGGGATTTTCATTAAAAGTACTGGGAAAAATTAAATCTTTAGAATTTATACTGAATTTTTGTGTTTTTGTTTGTCTCATATAAACTATGAAATTACCACGAATTCTAAAAAAAACTTAAATTTTTTCTATTTCTGACAATAATTTATTTTAAAATTTAAATAACTTAGTTTTATTGAAGAACTGCCATAAAGTTATTACTTATAAATCATTTAATGAAGTATTTTTTTGAAAAACTTTAATTTCAATTCTGTTGAAATTAGATTCAATTTTAAAAATTTTAGCGCAATTATTTGAAAGAATTTAACTATCTTAATAAAAACATTTTCTAGAAATTCAATTAATTTCAAAAATTCTTTATAAATTCTCGTCAACATTTTAATTATCTTTATACATAGCAAAATTCTTCGCAGAAATTCAGTTATTTTTAAAAATAACAAAATTTTAAACATGATTCAATTATTTTCAAACATTTCATAAACTTCTTCGCAGAAATTCAATTATTTTATAAACTTTTCATAATTTTCTTTGCCGATATTCAATCATTATATTGAAAAATGTAATACAATTCTTGGCAAGAAATCAATTATCATTATAAATAACAAAATTCTTCGCACAAATTAAATTATTTTCAAAACTTTCAAATAAAGTTCTTGAAAAAAATGCAATTATCTTTTTATAAATAACACACTGAAAAAAAAAACTAGTAGATTTGACTACTTTTTAACTACTCTACGTAATTCAATAGGTCCTCAACTGAATTCAAATAGTTGTACTAACTGTCATAAAAGCAGTTAAGACAACTAAGAATGTAGTTGGTTGAATGTGATTTAGTAGTTTATTTGACTAACTTTAAAGTAATTATAACAACTAAGATTTTGGTAGTAGATTTTACTACTTAAAGTAATTCGATAGGCTTTAACGACATTTTTGTTGTAGAATTAACTATTATTTTGTTTTTAAATCTACTACTTTAAGTAGTAGGTTTTACTACCTAAAGTAATTCGATAGGCTTTAACGACATTTTTGTTGTAGAATTAACTATTATTTTGTTTTTAAATCTACTACTTTAAGTAGTAGGTTTTACTACCTAAAGTAATTCGATAGGCTTTAACGACATTTCTGTTGTAGAATTAACTATTAAAAGTAGTTAATGATCTGTTTTATAAAGTAAAAATTAACATCTTTTTGTTTTTGTCAGCAACTACTTAAAAGTAGTAGAATTATTTATTATTATTTATTAATTATTATTATTACTGAAATTCATTTTTCATCTCCTCTAGCATTCCTATTGGTCACATATACTTTATAATTTTCAACACTTATGTACATAATGGAGAAAAATCCTCAAACGCCGGGGATTGAACGCACGACCCTAACATTCGCAAACCGATAACCTAACCACCTAACCACGCTCGCACGCTACGATGGTCTGCATGAAACCTGATGACATTCTTGACATAGATCAACCGACAACTGTAGTTCATTTTACAATGTAATGTAGTAGTATTTACTACTTTTACTAGTTCTTTTTATCTTCTTTAAATTCTTATTTCTGAACTTTGCTTTATTTAAAAATGCTGTTCAATCCTTTCTAATTACTTTAAGTAGTACAATCTACTACTCAATGTAGTAAAACTTAAGTTCAAAAAGTTAAAATTATCTATTATTTTCTCACCAAAACTACTGCATTGTGTAGTAGATTTTGCTACTTAGAGTGGTTCGATAGGCTTCAACAATATTATTCATTTATTTTTATTACTCTAATGTTGAAGTCAAATCAACTACTATAACTACATAAAAGTTGTAAAGTCTATTACACGAAAAAGGTTTGACTAATAAAAAAATTAGTTCCCTCTACTACTTCACGATAGTCAGTTGTGCAAGTCACGTGTTGTTTCAAATTCAACCGTATAAATTCTTTAATTCAACAATTTGGTGTTAACTATATTAAAGTAGTAAAATTTACTAGTTAAGAAAGTGTTACGTTACTTACAAAAGTAGTCCCTTTTACTACTTTCTATTTATTACTATAAAATTGTTAAATTTACTACTTATGAAATGTTGAGTAAACTATTATCTTAGTTGTTCTTACTTCAGCACTGTAGTCAATTCTACAACTTACCTGTTGTTAAAATTTAACTACATATATTAGTAGAATCAACTACTATTTATCAACTACATAAAAATAGTTAAATTAACTACGCAAACCGGGTTAGACTAACTAAAAAAGTAGTTGTTTTTACTACTTTTCACTTAACTACCCAAAGGTAGTTGAATTTGTCAGCCTAATTTTTTTCAGTGCAAAATTCTTCATAAGAATTCAATTATTTTCATAGAGAACAAAATTCATAGTATAGGAATTAAATTATTTAAATAATTTTCATAAAATTCTTCACAATATTAAAAGCATTATAGTGTGAATTTTTAGAAATAATTGAATTTTGAAAAGGTTGCAAATTAAAATGTTTGGAATATTTGATTTTTTCATACTTTTAACTAAAAATGCTGTAGATTTAATTTTTTTCTGAAAAAGTTTAATTTCAATTCTGTTGAAATTAGTTTCAATTTTAAAAATTTTAACGCAATTATTTGAAAGAATTGAACTATCTTAATAAACATTAAAATTCTTTCCATAAATTCAATTATTTTCAAAAATTCTTTAAAAATTCTCGTAAACAATTTAATTGTCTTTATACATAGCAAAATTCTTCGCTAAAATTCAATTATATTCAGGAATTTTTATAATATTCATGTCAAAATTTTAATTATTTTCAAAAAATTTCTTAATTCAATGATTTTCAATATTCTACAATTTTAATAAAATTTCTCAAAAAAATTCAATTATTAATAAAAATTTTATTAAAATTCGTCGAAAGAATTCAATTATTTAAACATTTGTTGATAAAATTCTATAAAAGAATTAAATTTTAAGAAACATTCATTCATTTACTCAATAAATTATTTACATTTGTATTTAAAATAATTGAATTATCGTGAAATTTTCTATTAAAAATTAATTTCATATAAAGTTTTAGAGTTCAATTTGGAGAAGTTATTAATAATTGCAATTTTTATAAATAATTGAATTTTGTAAAGGTTTCAAATTAAAATCTTTAAAAATTTGAATTTTTCATGCTTTTAATTAAAAATTCTATGGAACTAATTTTTTTCAAAAAGCTTAGTCGCAATTTTTTAAAATTATTTCAAGTTTTTATTTTCTAATGTATATTTAATTGAAGAATTTGCGAATAATCGAAATTTCACGTAAAACTGAATTGTAAACAAATAAATTGGAAAATTCTCAAAAGAACTTTATCGTAAATTATTAGAATTTTATTTTAAAATTTTAGAAAATAATAATTGAATTGAAAGGATGAAAATAATTTTTAACAAGTTACAGTAACAATTTTTTTTATATTATAATATAAAATAATGATTTTATCACTTAGTCAGCTTTAATTATTATAAAACATGAAGAAATGGATCACTTCGAGTCGAAGACTCGGAGTGATCCATTTCTTCATGTTTTATAATAATTCTATTCATATTCTTTCTAGTTATTGAATTTTAAAAGGTTTAAATTTGAAATTTTTGAAATATTTTTTCCTATAGGAAAATAATAATGATTAAAAAAGAAGTTAAGTTATTGATGTTTTCGAATAATTTTACAATTTAAGAAATTCGTAAATAAGTGCGATAGAATATTTTTTTGAGTACCTAATCATTTTTAAAGTGAATCAGAATATTTTTTATTGTCAGGGAAAGAGTGAAAATCAGTCAGAAAAAAGTCTGGAAATCAGGGAAAAGAAAATTACATTTTTGTGATCAAAATCTATTTTTTTGTCTGACCAAAAACTATTTGTCTACTTTAATATTTATGGTTTTTTTTTGTTCTACAATATTTATTTTGTTTTTCAGTCCTAATTAGTTTGTGTGTAATTAATATGATTTTATTTTTATAATTATTGTATTATTATAATAATTATTATTATTATCATTATTGTTATTATTATTATTATTATTGTTATTATTATTTTATTTTATTATTATTTTATTATTATTCAATTTGAGTGTCAGTCACTGTAGGCATATATTTTGTTCTCCTTTCAATCGTTTTTTATATAAATAAACGGACCATTATTTAAACGTAATCGGCAGATTGAAATCTAGTTTCGTTTTAGAATAAGACACGTGAACTTGTGACTCTGTTTGGCTTTGGTCTCGAGAAATGCAATGTTCAAGGAAATCGATAGGGTGGTTGAATGCACTATTATATTATTTTTCTTCATCATGGTACAAAGTTATTCATATCGATTCGCTTATAGTGCGACGTTATACGTTTCCTTCGAGACTTTCGTGTCTTCCGGAATTGCGATTTCCGGTTCTCTTATTTATATACACAATTTATTACGTATGCGTGCGATGTCCACAAATTTTTAACTTTTAAATTAACGTTACTTCTTTCCTTCTTCTTCTTCATCTTCTTCTAACAGTACTCTTATATACTTTAATTTTCTTATAATAATTATTATATAAACTACTCTCTAAATTTGAATTAGTAAAAATGTTTACTAATTTTGAATTAATAACCAACTGTTTGCTTTTGAATTATAGTAAATTTTACTAATAAAGTTATTTTTTACTAATTATTGATAAAGCAAAAAGTCATTCAAGATTTTACTATCACAGTTTTTCTGCAGATATCAAATTAAGACAAAAAACGAATAAAAACTTTTTTTCAAATTTTGAAATGCGAAGAACATTATAAAAAATAAATTGTTTATAAAAAATTTATTAAATAATTATTAAAAAATAAACTTTTAAAAAATTATCTACTTTCTGAACGAAAGTATAATTTATGCCCTTTATATTCTCGTTTGGTTTATTTAAACCAGTTTAATCATTTAGAAGAAATAAAATTTTCGTTAAAATAAAAGTTGCAAAAAAAAAATTCATTTTGCAATAACTTTTATAAAAAATTCTTTTTTCTCTTCTACATTACTGACTGATGGTTATAGCTATGTTGGTGAAGTTTACAACGTTTTTAATCAACGATTTAAAAGGAATAATATTTTTTTAAACAAATTTTAATTCATTTTTCTATAGAAAATATTTTGGTTAGTCTTTTGAATAATAATTTACAAAAAGAAATATTTGTAAACAAAAAATTTTATTCATTTTGGTAAAAAAATAATTTTTTCCTTTCAATCGTTGATCATAAACGTTGCAAACTTCACCGACGTTATAGCTACTATTAGTCGGCAACTTAGCTGCATTCGGTATTACCCACTTTTTAAGTAGAGTATTATCAACAAAATCAGTAAAGTAGAACACCAACCGAAAAGGATAATCCTATGAAGAATGTACTTAGTTCAAAGGATTTTAAAAAATATTGTCCATTTACGGAAGAAAATAAATTTCCGGAAGTGATTTACGGAAAAATTCCAGAAAAAGGATCAACTTCCAGAAGCACCTTCTGGGAAAAAATTAACTTCCAAAAGAATCAATTTTCGGAAATTTTACGGAAACCACTTACGGAAAGTTTTTGAAAGTCTCTTCCGGTAATTTTCCGGAAATCCTTCCACATGGGAATTGATAGTAAAAATAACTTTTTGCTTAGTTTACTAATTTTTTTTTTCCTTATAAATTCTTCCTTCTCAATATTTTTGTTATTAATTATTTCGACGTTTATCGTCGACGCTAAATATTAATTTTGATACTTTTGTTTTTAACGTTAATAAATAAAAAAAAACAATTAAATATTATTTTGAATATTACCTTATTTTATAATTGTAGGAATTTCCATTGATTTCAGTTATTTAATCAGTTGATGTTTTTTTTATTTGAATAGTACGATTATTTCTTTATAATTTCTTTATTTCCATTTATTTCCACAAAGTTTTCCTTGTTGAAAAAAGTATATAATCTCTTCACTTGTTATTTAATATTTTAGTACATTTGACGCACTCGTCGGATTACTTTCGTTTTGTTCTGGAAATGTTAAATAACTAAATATTAATTTATTGTAATAATTTATAAAAAAACGAAATTTTTCAATTGAAGTATTAAAAATTGTGCGTGTATTTTTACTTTTGAGACTGAAAATTAAAATGGGAAAAATTGTATTTAATTTTTTGTGTATTCTTGTTTTATTTTGTAATTTTTATGCTGCGATTGCGCACGAAAATTTAAATGTCAAAATAAATGACCTCGGTCGAATTAAAGGCTCTCTTAAAACAACGAGATTGGGTAAAAAAATTTTTTCCTTCCGCGGTGTGAGATATGCTGAACCACCGACTGGAAAACTTCGCTTTCAGGTGAGAGATTTAAATTAAATTACTTTCTTAAAATTAATAGAATTATTATCTAAAACAATTACCCAATTTATACCTTATTTAATATTTTTAAATTAATTTACAGTAATTTTTTAAATTACTAATTATATTTTCAAATTAATTTTTCAAATTAATTTAGTAATTAATATCTTTCTAACTTAATATACAGTGAGAAAAAATTTGTTTTACAAAAATATGTAGCCAACTAAAAAAATATGTTTGAATCAAACGTAATTTTTATTGAATCAAACTTTTGATGTATTCAATCCAAATTATTATATTTAAAAATAATTTTTGGTTGATTAAAAAAAAAGTTTGGACATGGATTTTGAAGCTTAAGAACTAAACTTGCAGTATCAGTTTGAGATTTGGAAAAAAATATTTAATTCTGATTTTAGGGGGTAAAAAGTAAAAAAGTGTCTTTTTCACCCCACTCTACTCTAATTTATACTTAATTTTGGTTTTTTGTTATTATTTTTTTTTTATATAAAGCCACCTGTGCCTGTAAAACCATGGAATGATGTCTTCGACGCCTCTAAAGAGGGTCCAGCATGCCCTCAGTTTAATTATACAATTATGTCGGAGGACTGTCTTCGACTAAATGTATACACAACCAAGGTAATTATATGCAGAAAAATCAAGAAATTTTTAATTTAAAATTAAATTTAAATTTTTATTTTTTATTGTTAGCTTTTATGAATTTTCAATATTTTAATATTTTTACACTGTTCTAAAAATTAAAAAAAATTGATGATAAAAATTGTTTAGATATTTTCCTACTATTTTTTATAGTAGAACTTCTTTTCAAATTTTTATTTTTATTTTCTAATTTTTATAATGTTTTTAGCTACCAACTGAAAATGACAAAGTGAAAAGACCAGTTATTGTTTTTATTCATCCAGGAGGATTTTTCTCTTATTCTGGTCAAAGCGACCAATTTGGACCCGAATATTTGCTAGATCGAGATGTTGTCTTGGTTACCATTAATTATCGAATTGGCTCATTAGGTACTGAAAAAAAAGTGATTTCTTTTTTATTCCGTTAATTAGGACAAGTACGAAAAGTACTGAATGGAAATTTTGAAAAAGGATGAAAATAAATTTATAGTAATTTTATTGATTCGGAATATTTTAGTAACTTCTACTTTAACACCTGATTGAAATAATTTGTATTTTAATTAATTGTAATCAAATTAACTCCTTATTCAATTAATTTGTATTTTAAATAAAGTGTAATTTAATTGACATAATTTATTTCGCTGAAAATTGACATAATTTAGATAATTTGTAATTTAATTAGTAATTTACTTGACTCAATTTAAATAATTTGTAATTTATTTATTTTTTTAATGAAAGGAATAATGTTTCTTTAATAATATTAGGATTTTTGAGTGCCGATCATCCGAGATTGCTCGGAAATATGGGACTTAAGGATCAAGTGACTGCACTTCGTTGGATTAAAAAGAATATTAATGTCTTTGGTGGAGATCCAAATTCGGTGACAATTACCGGATACAGTGCAGGATCATGGAGTGTAACAATGCATTTGGTGTCACCAATGTCCCGAGGATTGTTTCACAGAGCAATTTCAATGAGCGGTGCTGTCACTTATCAAAAATTATTGGGCACCAATCAAAAAGACATGGCCATCAAGCAAGCGGAATATTTCAATTGTTCCACAAATTCAGTTGATGAAATTGTCGATTGTCTGCAAACGATACCAGCTCAAGATATTGCAGATTCAATGCCCACATTATTTTTCGTACGTTTTAATAATTAATTAATAATAATTAACTAATAATAATTAATTAAGTAATTAATAATAATAATTATTAATAATAATTCATTAATTTTAATAATTAATTTTGTATTCAAACGTTTTGGTTTTTATATTATCCGATACAGCACCGAAGAAAATTTATGTTTCACCCTATAAACATTTATTAGAATGGGACATTTAAATCTTTACAAAATTTTCATTAAAATGTGGAAGTAAACACTTCGAAGTTCGGAAGTAAATCTTTGATATTTTTTTAGGAAAGTTTCGATGCTGTAGGGGATGTTTTTTTAAAAATGTTTTTAGTTCTTTTTGTCTTAACTTTTTTATTTCAGTGTTTACTATTATTTAATATTTTTCAACGGATTTTCCTTTTCAGGAATGGTACGGAGATCCGGTTCTGAAATGGACCCCGGTTGTAGAACCGGAAGTAAATGGCGTTGAAAGATTTCTTACAGAGGAACCAGTGAATTCTATAAGGGAAGGAAGAGTTGCCCCAGTTCCCGTTATTGGGGGTGTTGATAAAGATGAATTCGCAGGAGTAATTGTGTGTAAGTAAACACAAAAAACAAAAAAATGTTTTTTCTATTTTGTTTCCTATTTTCGATTGTATATTTTCATTCCAGTTCCAATTGAATTTGCCCGAGCAGGAAATTCGACTTTTCTGGATCAATGGAATTCCGATTGGAATCACATTGCTCCGATTAGTTTTCAATTCGAGAGAAATACATCAAGGACTCAATGCATTAGTGATGAATTTAAAAGATTTTATATTAATAATCACGTGACTTTGGACAATATTGGAGGAATAGGAGAAGTAAACTTTTTGCCAAATTTTATTTCAATTGGCAAATAATTTTTATGTGTTTTATTATTCAAAGATTGAAAGTTTATTCTGATTTTCTAAATTTCTTTATATTTTAGCTTTATTCCGATGCTCTCATCATATTTTCCGAGCATCGATTCATTAATTTATTATCCGCGTCGTCGAGACATCCGGTTTATTATTATCATTTCACCTATCAAGGAAGATACAGTCATGTTGTATGGAACGACACTAAAAAACCCTTTGGTAATGCTAATGATTTTTAAAATTTATTTATTCTACTAATTTTATTAATTTTATTTCATATTCTACTTTTTTATGCTTTATTTGTTTCATTTCAGGTGTTTCACATCATGATGAATTAATGTACATATTTTATATGTCGAAATTTCCAAAATTCGTCGAAGGCGATCCAGAAATATTGATGGTGGAAAAGATGACGGCGATTTTTGAAAATTTTGCCAAAACTGGTGAACCAATTCCCAAGGACAATTCATTATTTGAGAATGTGTCTTGGAAAAAATTCACACCACAGCAAAAACGTTATTTAGAAATTAATAATAGTTCTATGATTATGAAAAATGGAGTCATCTATCCTGAAAGAATGAAATTGTGGGACAGACTATTTCCATTGCCACCGAGTCGTAAACATTCTCACAACCGCAAGCATTGAATGATAATATAAAAAAAATTTGTATTTTCAAAAATAAATAATGTTTGCTTAATTGTATTTTATTTCTCCGTAAATTTCCACTGACATTAAATATTTAATTATATTAAATATTAATATTAAATATTTCTTACATATTCAAATTAAAAAGCTATTTTTATTTCATTCTATTGTAATTCATTATCGAAGAGGAAAAGATTTTTGAATTGAAAATTAAGGAAACATTCCGCTTATGAATTAAAAAAAGTTGATTTTATTCACTGTTCAATTTTAATATTTATGCAAATAAAAATTTATTTTTAGAAAATTTATTTAGTAATAAACTAATAATAATACTCTCCACCTCATTAATGTAATTTATTTTCTGTTATTAATAATTTATTAAAATTATTATGTTTTTTAAAATTATGATTATGATTTTTATAATTTGATTATTTTAATTTTTTACTTTAAATTAAATTACAAAATTATATTATAATATACATATTATTACAGTATTAAATCAAATTGTAATATTATATTTTATAATTATCATTATCATTATTTTATTTTATATTGACAATTAAAAATTTATTTGAAACGGATAAATAATTAATTGAGTCAACTATTTAAACTGTAGATTATAATTAATTGTATGAAAAGCCGTTTTTTGTTTCGTAAGCCCGTTGACACTAAATAATTAATTACGTAAGAAAAAATGATTATAGGAAAAAATGTGACTTTATCAGAAATATACTTTCTTTATTAAATAATAATAATAAAAGCATTAATATTAATTATTAATAAAATAAAGAAATGAAGACAAAGCAAAAATAGTAAAAACTTCTTGTTTGGAATGAATATATAAAAAAATAAATACATACTATTTATAATAGAAATAAAATTTATAATAAATAAATACTAATAAATACTAAATACTAATGAATACCAAATACTAATAAATATTAAATACTAAATAAATACTACACTATTAATAAAATTAATTGTTAAAAAAATAAATAATTATCTAATAAAATATATTTCTGAAAAAATTACACTTTTCCTCAATTTTTATTTACTCATTATTAAATAAGCGACAATTAAAAAAAATTTAATTTTTTCATTGAATGGAAATACATTTCATTAAAAATATTACATTCGATAATATTCACTTGGTAAATAAAGTAATTTACCAAGTGAATATTTTGCCTCGTTAAAGTAAAAATCATTTAAAATATGTCAGAAGTTGACTTAATTATTTTTCGCAGTATTCGCGAGACTGTTACACTGTTCACAACGCACTTGTTATTACAGCATTTATCGTTATTGAACATTTTTTAAAAATAATAATTAGTAAATAAAGAAAAAAGAATGAAAAAATTAAAATTAACTTTATTTTCCATTATTATTGTATTCTGTGAATTGATAACAATATTTGCCCACGATTACAATGAAGTTTTAATCCCTCTTGGAAAAATTAAGGGCTCTTTTATGAAAACACGTTTGGGGGAAAAATTTCATTCATTTCGCGGCATCAGATATGCAGAGCCTCCCATTGGTGAAAATCGATTCCAGGTAAAAAGGAAGCAAAAAAATTTACTTCCAAAAATAAATAAATATTAAAATATTTTTCTAATTTTTTATTATTTAAATTAGAAAAATTAATAAATATTAAAAAATTTATTTTATTTTTTTGTATTTTTTTTCTCTTATTATAAATAGCCGCCAGTGTCAGTGAAAAATTGGGAAGGTATTTTTGATGCTTCGAAAGAAGGTCCTTCGTGTCCTCAACCAAATGCTCGATTAATGTCGGAAGATTGTCTTCGCTTAAATATTTATACAAAACAGGCAAGTATTATGCAAATTATAAATTTTTTGTAATTTACTCTTATGCTTTTTTATATTTTGTACTAATATTTTGTAATTGCTAATTACTAATTAAATATTAAATAATAATTACTAATTACTAATATTTTATATTTTTTTATATTTACCTTTTATATAGTATAGATTGTAATTTATTATTGGATTATAATTTATTTTTATTTATTTATTTATTCTTATTTATTATTAGTTATATATTATTTTATTTATTTTTTAAAATTATTTTTATTATTTTTGGCTGAATTTCATTTAAATGCTATGGTATTTAATATCACTTATTATAATTAATAGGATTTCTAATTCAAATCTTGGAAAATTATTTTTAGTTACCAACGAAGGAAAATCTTACAAGAAGACCTGTTGTTGTTTATTTCCATCCTGGTGGTTTTTATGTTCGATCAGGTCAAAGTTATCAGTATGGACCACAATATTTAATGGATAAAAATATTGTTTTGGTCACTGTTAATTATCGACTTGCTTCTTTGGGTACTTAATCATAGATTTTATTTAATTAAATTTAAATTTTTTAAAAATTTTTATTCTTTATTAATTTTATTAATTTTATTAATTTTATTAATTCAATTATTTGTATCAATTTCATGGTCAGTATATTTTCATATTGTATTATTTTTTGAAAAATTATTTATATATTATAATTTATTTTTTATTCTTGTCTCTAACCCTTAATCTCAAAGATCGTTAATGGGCTTTAAATTATTCAAATATATTTTTTATTATTTATTTATTATACTTTTTGCCTTTTAAGTTTAATTGTATTTCTAATTTTCATATTCTAATTTTTTTTTGTTAAATTTTTTTCTCTAATTTTTATTAATTATATTGTTTACAAAAGAAAATAAAAAAGAAACTTTTCAGATAAAATAAAAATAAAAGTTACGTAAAAGAAGTGTATAAATAAATTAATTTATATTCAGTTTATTATAATCTAACATTTATTTATTCTACTCGCTTAAAATGGAATGAAAGAATTTATTCAGATAAAATAAAAATAGAAATTTACTTGGAAAAAAATTATTGTTAATTTATAATTTACATTGTACACTATAATTTATTTAATTATTTATTTGTTTTCAATTTTTACCCAGAGAAAAGAAGAATTTATTCTGATAAAACAAACAAATTCTGCTGATATCAAATTGAGACAAAAAATGAATCAAAATAGTTGCTTTGCAACTATTTTGATTCATTTTTTGTCTCAATTTGGTATCAGCAGAAAAACTGTCGGAAAAATAAAATAAAAATTTAATAGTGTTATCTTTTTTCAATTTTCTTTGAAAATGAAATTGTTTTTTTTTTCTTGAGCAAAAAAAAAATGGTAAAAGAAAAAATTGCACAAATGATTTTTAACAGGTTTTATGAGCACTGGTGACTCACATTTGCCAGGAAATCTTGGCCTCAAAGATCAAGTGGAAGCTCTTCGTTGGATAAAAAATAATGTCGATTATTTTGGCGGCGATGCAAATTGCGTGACAATAACTGGTCAAAGTGCAGGTGCACGAAGTGTGACACTTCATTTGGTGTCACCAATGTCAAAGGGTCTCTTCCACCGAGTTATTGCATTGAGTGGTTCAGGTGTTAATCCCGAACCACTTCCCAATCATCAACGACATTTGGCAAAGAAACAGGCTCAAATTTTGAACTGTCCCAGTGATAATAATGTAAAAGCAATGATCGACTGTCTGAGAAATAAAACTCACGAGGAATTTGGAAATTCGATAAAAAAGTTTGCAGTCAGTATTTTTTTTTTATTTATACTATAATAAATTTAAGTTATAATTTAATTTAGTTAATTTAAGGTTATTTATTTAATTTATTTATAATAAATTTATTTTATTTATTTATAATACATTTATTTTATTTATTTATAACAAATTTATTTTATTTATTTATAAATTTAAGTAGTATTTCATTTATTAAACAGCAAAAAATTTACTATAGTAAATTCACTGGTAAGAATACTTTTACACTAACGAATACTAAGAATAATGTATTACTAATTTTTTTTAAAAGAAAATTTACTTTTTTTTAGTAATTAATTTTTGTAATTTAGTAGTAGTTTAGTATTTAATAAAAAATAAAAAAAAAATTGGAAAATCGAAGGAATGGTATGGAGACCCAATCATAATATGGAGACCAGTAGTTGAACCAGAAATTCCGGGAGTAGAAAGATTCCTCACTGATCAGCCAGCAAATTTATTGAGAAAAGGACAATTTCATCATGTGCCGGTAATTGCTGGCGTCACAAAAGATGAATTCTCTGGAATTATAAAAGGTAAAATTTTCCCATTTTTTCCAATAAAAATTATGTAAAAAAATTACTAATAAACGAATAAATGAAGAAATTAACTTCAAAAAGAAGGTAAGAAAATTTTCTGATTTATAAATAAAATTATTATCTGATTACTATTTTTAATTTTAATTTTGTTTATTAATTTTTTTTCTTAGTTTTCATAATAAATTTATTTATAATTTATTATTAACAACTTATAAATTTTTAATTGAAACAAAGTATCAATTTATGATTTATTTTTACAACATTTTGATACGTTTTTTGTCTCAATTTAATATCCTTAGAAAAACTGTGTTTTAATTACACAATTTATTTTGTTTAAATTTAAAATTTATTTTTTATATTTTTAATTTATGTAGTTGTAATTTAAAATTTACTTTAATATTTTTGATTTAGTTGTAATTTAAACTTTTTTTTTAATTTTCACTTTAGTTTGATTTTTTAATTTATTTTTAACTATTGCTTTATAGTTTTAATTTTAAAAATATTTTAAATTTAGATTTAATTTTTGCTTTAATCTCTAAATTTTAATTAGTAAATTTTTTTTACTAATTTTAATTAGTGACTGATCTTTTGCTCTTAAATTAGTAAATTTTACAAATAAATAGTAATTTCTACTAATTTATTAGTAAAATTTACAAATTCTACTTATTAGTAAAATTTACAAATTCTACTTATTAGTAAAATTTTCTAATTCTACTTATTAGTAAAATAAACTAATTTTACTTATAAGTAAAATTTACTCATTGTACTAATAAATTTTTTACTAATAAATACTACTAATTTATAACTATTGAATTAGTAAATTTTACCAATAAAAACTAATTTCTACTAATTTATTAGTGAAATTCACTTTTTCTACTAATAAATTTTTTATTATAAATACTAGTAATTTTTTTACTAATAAATACTACTAATATTTGCTACTAATTTTTTTTACTAATAAATTAGTAGAAGTTACTATTTATTAGTAAACTTTACTAATTCGAAATTCAAAAATTTAGTAACTAATTCAAATTAGCAAACATTTTTACTAATTAAAATTTAGAGAGTACTTTTAATTTTCTACTTCTTTTTTTAATTGAACAAATTTTTTGTTTCAGGAAACATTGAAAGGGCAAGAAATGGAAATTTCACGACAATCAATGAACGAAATGATAATTGGGAATTAATCGCACCGATCAGTTTTTCTTATGAACGTAACACTTCAAGATCAAAGTGTATCAGCAAGGAACTGTGGAAGTTTTACTTGAATGATTCGCCAATTAGTTTAGACAACATTATCGGACTTGGACAAGTATTTTTTTTCTTTTTTTTTGTTATAAACTTTTCATTAATTTTTTAATTATTTATAAATATTTTTATTAAAATATTATTATTATATAGTTAAAATAAAGAAAGAAATTTTATATTAAAAAAAGAAAATAATAGAATGAAAATAAAAAAAGGAAATTTGATAATTAAGAAAGAAAATTTCTCTAAGTAAATTTAAATATTTTTTTTTAGATTTATGCCGATTCAATAACAATAAATTCAGTGCATCGTTTCGTCAATTTATTGGCAGCCACTTCCACACAACCAGTTTATTATTACAAATTTACTTATCAGGGACGTTACAGTCACACTATTTGGAACGACTCCAAGAAACCATTTGGTATTTAATTTGTTCCCGCAATTTTTTAGAGATAAATAAAATTTTAATAATTATTTGTTAAATTATTTAGTAAATTAATTTTTATTTAATTTTTATTTACTTTTTATTTACTGATTAATTTTTATTTAATTTTTATTTACTTTTTATTTACTGATTAATTTTTATTTATGAACACTCAGGGAAAATTTATGTTTAAATAGAAAGTTTTTATTAAAATTATCTAGTTTATTAAATTCGATAAACGACAAAAATAATTTGATCGTTTGAAGCAAATTTTTTGTTGTTGAACAAAATAAATATTTATTAAATAAAAATAAATAAACAAATTCATTCATTTGCTTGATTCAATCAACAAAAATTTGGTCCTTTTGGATAAATTTTCCTCCAAGTGAATTATTTATATATTCTTTTGAAAGAGAAAATACAAAAATTTGTCACATTAAAAAAAAATAATTTTATATAATTAATAATTATTTTATTGCAGGCGTCGTTCACGAAGACGATCTAATTTATCTTTTCTTCCTGGAAAATAATTTTCCAATGTTTAATGAAACCGATCCGGAAATACGAACAATTGAGCGAATGACTTCAATTTGGGAGAATTTCGCCAAAACTGGAAATCCCATTCCTAAGGACAATGCATTATTTGAAAATGTAATCTGGCAACGATTTATTCCATCAAATAAATGTTATCTCGACATTGGCAACGAGCTTGTAATGAAAAATGGAAATATTTATCCTGAAAGAATGCAATTATGGGATAAATTGTTCCCTCTCACTATCTAACTAGTGTTTTTTTTTTTTTTTTTTTTGTAAAATAATTGTTTTCAAACTATTAAGGAAATATTAAACGAAAAAAAAAAAATGGAAAAACAATAAGGAAAAAGTTTTTCTAATGAAAAAAAGAAGATATACATAATTTATCAGTAAACTGTTTTTTTTAATTTGTCGATAGTCTTCTCGGTAAAACGAAATGGTATTTTTAAAACATTTTTTAATTATTGTTAAAACGAATAAACGAAGATTGAAAAAAAATTACTAATGTTGTTAAGAAAGGAATATTTGACTATTTGTTCAATATGGAGAAAAGATTTTTTTTCATCAAGTGAATAATTTTTTTTTTGTTGAAGAAAATAAATATTTTTTGCAGAAGATAAATTTTTTTTGCAGAAAATAAATTTTTTTTGCAGAAGATAAATTCTTTTTTGCAGAAAATAAATACTTTTTTAAACATGTAAATATTATTCTAATTAATAATTATTCTAATCAGACATTATTCTCGAAGTAAGTAATTATTTTTAAACAAATTAAATGTTTATTTTGAAACAAGTAAATATTTTTCTAATCAAGTAATTATTTATTGGTTAAAAATAAATATTTCTCGAATTAAACAATAATTATTCAATAAAAGAAATATTTAATTTTAAACAAGTAAATATTTTCCAATCAAGTAAATAGTTTTTAAATCAAGTAAATGTTTCTTTGAAACAAATAAATATTTATTCTAAAACAAGTAAATATTTTTTAATCAAGTAAACATTTTTTGAGCCAAAATAAATATTTCCTAAAATAATAATTCTTAAACAAATGAATTATTTGGAAGGAAATAGATATTTAGGTATTTCGAAAAAAGTAACTATTTTTTAATCAAGTGTAAAAATTTCTGAGACAAAAATAAATATTTCTCGAATTAAAAAATAATTCTCAAACAAATGAATTATTTTGAAACAAGTAAATATTTATTTCTAAAAAAGTAACTTTTAATCAAGTGTAAAAATTTCTGAGACAAAAATAAATATTTCTCGAATTAAATACTTTTTTTTATAAACAAATTAAATGTTTATTTCGAAAGAATTATAAATATTTTTCCAATCAAGTAAATATTTTCTTGGGCAAAAATAAATATTTCCTGGATTAAATAATAATTCTTAAAGAAATAAAATATTTATATTTTGAAACAAGTAAATATTTTTTTCAAATGAGTAAAATATTTATTTCAAAACAAGTAAGTATTTAAATTCAAATCATTAATTATTAGATCAAGTAAACATTTTTTTCGAGTATTTTTCTAATAAAGTATAAAAATTTTTGAGACAAAAATAAATATTTCTTGAATTAAATACTTTTGTTTATAATTAAATTAAAGTAAATATTTATTTATAAATAAGTAAATATTCTTTTTATCAAGTAGACATTTCTTAAACAAAAAAAAATGTTTCTCGAATGAAATAGAAGCAAATAAAAATTTGACTAATCTTTCTCCAGATTGATTACAAAGAAATTATTTACTTTTTTTAATTACCTACATTTTTTCAAGAATATACTTGTTTGAATTTGAAATAATTTCTCTTGATAAATTAGTATTATTTTTTATCTGCTTTTTTTGACTAAAACAAAAAGGCAGTAAAAAAAAGGAAATAAAAATACATTGTCGAAAGATTTTAATTACTTATACATCTTATTGTGTAAATATTTGCAAATTGAGGAAAAATAAATTATATTACTGTACTTGAAATAAAAGTAAATTCTCTTTTCCTCGTTACACTCTTATAAACGGTATTTATTGCCACATTTTATTCATTTTATGCTCTCTGGTGCTATTGATAAGAACTTGTAAAGTTGTTTCTCTTCATAGTGTTCATTATGTACTAGATTGAATTTTGTAATATTATATGACAATTAGATAAATTTCCGAATATGACGCTTTTCAATTATTTATTTTTTTACCTCTTCATAAGTGTGTGTTATGTGAATTTTTCTGCTGCAAAGGACAAAACATTGGTCTCGATATCACTTGGAAAAATTCGGGGATCATTTATTCAGTCTCGATTGGGTAAAGAAATTTATTCATATCGAGGTATAAGGTATGCGGAAGCACCTGTTGGTGAATTACGATTTCAGGTGAGGTGCAAAAATATTTTTTTAATTAAAAAATTTTTATTTTTTATGATTTTAGTTAGAATTTTATTTTTTTATTAAATTAAGTTTAGAATTTAATTACAGTTTCATTTTTTATTAAATTATAATTAGAGTTTATTTCTTTTTGCTTCCTCATAGAGGAAGTACATTGACTTGTACTACTTAGACTTTAAAAAGCAAAAAATGCGCTACTGTAATTATTTTTCAAAAAAAATATAAAATTTTATGTTCTATTCCGCGTCACCCAAGAGGTTGAACATCAGACGCGTTTTTGTATGGTTTCCCCATTACACACAGTTCTTCAAATTACAAAATTTATAGCAAAACACGTTTACAATTTTAACGCATTTGAATTTGTAAATTGGGCTGCTGTGTCATAGGCCTAATCCACTCCTCCCTTCAAACGAGAGAAAAGTTTTTATTTCAATCAAGAATAATTTCTTTGAATCAAATAAAAATAAATATTTGTCTTAGTAATTCAATATTTATGTTTATAAAATAAATATTGAAAACTTTGATAAAATATGTTCTTTCTCAGATTGAACACAATAAAAGCAAAGTCTTTAAAATTCAATTGAGTTTGAATCTATGATGTAAATTATTAAAAATTTACACTTACAGATTATTTGCAGATTTTTGGTATTATTAAATTAAAATAATTACAAATTCTAATTTTTTTCGAGTTCAAAAAATAAAACTTTTTTTGAGACTTTGTTTTTAATGTGGAGCACAATTTATTTGCGACAATATTTATAACATTGACAGAAATATATTGTGTTCCGAAGGAAATATAATAATTTATATATGTATTGAATAATAATTTTCACGAATTAATGGATAATCATATATTTATTTGAATAATTCGTCACTCACGACGTTTAGGTGAAAAACATCGTCGTGAGTGATAAATTATTCAAATAAATATGATTATCCAGCAATTCCTCAAAATTATTATTCAATATATATCTGACTATATTAAAAAAATGTAGCAGCTGTCGCCGCTATTTTAAGAATCGAACATAACCTCAAAATAATATGTCACAAAGCAAACATAACCTCAAAATTAGGACAGGATAATAGGACAGGATAATAGGTTAGAGAGCAAACATATCCTTAATGTTAGGTCAAAGGGCAGAGGGCAAACATAACCAGTAGTGGGCAAACATAACATCAATATTAGGACAGAGGGCAAACATAACATCAAAATTAGGTCAAAGGACAGAGGGTAAACATAACTTCAAAATTATGTCAGTATGATAGGTAATAATATCCTCAATATTAGGTCAAAGGGCAGAGGGCAAACGTAACATCAAAATTAGGTCAAAGGGTAGTGGGCAAACATATCCTCAATATTAGGTCAAAGGGAAGAGGGCAGAAAACATACCCTCAATATTAGGTCAAAGGGCAGAGGGCAAACATAACATCAAAATTAGGTTAAACGACAGAGGATAAACATAACTTCAAAATTAGGTCAAGATGATAGGGCAGAAAGCAAACATATCCTCAATATTAGGTCAAATAACAGTTCTATAAAAAATAGAGGTAAGGGGTTGGCGCGTGGTACATCACTGGATGTACAAAATTACAAATGTTTAAATTTAAGTAATATATAATAAATATATAATGTATTTTTACACAGAAATGAAAAAAATATTGCATCGTGAAACAACAAACATGAAATAATACATAAAACGAAGAAAAAACTTAATACAGAAAAATAAACATTAAAGATTAAACAGAATAAAAAAACATTAATCAAAAATATTTTCTTGACAAAACATAAAAGAAACATGTTGACCTGAAACAGAAACAAATATTTTCACAAACATAAGAAAATTATTTTAAAATAGTAAAGTATATAAATAATTTTTCTAAATTGTTTGCAACATCTTGCAACCTGAAATAAAAAATAAAACGGAGAAAAATCAAATTACAAAAAAATAAACATTAAATAGACTAAAGAAACACATTAATCAAAAATAGAAGAAACAAAATTTATCAAAAAAAACATGAACAGAAAATTTTACACAAAAAAGAAATAAGTATGTTAAACAGCAACTGAAAAGAGTTTACCTAAAACAGAAAGCATTCTTTAATTAGAAAACAGTGAAAAAATTGGAAATAAAAAAATTGTATACCTCAGAGAAAAAATTGGAATTTGCGAATATTGATTCAAAACTAACATGAAATTTTCACTAAAAGCAGACCTCGGATTGACTTTTAAGGGACAATCAATGTTTTTGTCAAATTTAATTTTAATTCATTTTAATTTTAATTCATTTTAATTTTAAATCACTTGAATTTTAAATCATTTGAATTTTAAATCATTTGAATTTTAAATCATTTGAATTTTAATTCATTTTAATTTTAATTCTTTTAAAAGATAAAAAAAAGTTAAATAATTCTTTGCATTTAATGAAGCAAAAAACATTTTTTTAAGGATATTCCTTCTGTGAACTTAGGTATAAAAAAGCGTGAAATTTGAAAGTAATATGACATTCAATTAAATTTACGGTTGTATGAAATTTTCTAAAGTTTTAAACAGTCAAAAAATTATTAAATTGAATCTACAAATATTGAATAATTTAAATGATAATCTTTTAAAACATCAAATTATTATTTGTTCGAATTTTCAAAACGTCGAATGTTAATTTAAACGAATTTTAAGAACATCGAATGCTTATTTTAATTGATTTAAAAAACATCGAATAACAATTTGATCGAAAATGTTGCAGTTGTTCTATATTTTCGAAAAATTTACTTTTTTATATAATAATCATAAACATTGATAATTTCAGCCTCAGTAATAATGTAAAAATTAATGTAAATAGTATATACTTGTTTATCAAAATTATTTATACTTTTATAGTATTTTTTCTTGTTTTATTTGAATGTTGAAAAAATGATTTTGTATGCTACTGACAAGCATAGAGGCAACTTTGTATGCATATCTACTATTAAGTAATAAAACATTAATGAAAAAAGTTTACATTGACAAGTAAAAAGAAAAAAGTCAGATGTAAATATGGAAAGTATTTTTCTTAGTATGAATTCAATTTTTAATTTCAAAATAGAACTTGTTCTAACAAGAATAAATAATCACAAGCGTGTTGAAATTTCACTATTGTTATTTTCAAGACAATAATGTAAAATATACAAATATTAAATATGAATAAATATAAAGTTAAGTAGCAGTAGATGATTATTTTTTTCTCTGCTTCTTTTAAAAAAATTTCTTTCTCAAGAGAAAGAAGATAAGAGAGTCAACCGGAATTAGTTTACAGAAACGACATTAATTCTTGTCAAAAGAACGTAACCTCTTCAAGTACTCGTCAGTGTATACTATTCTCTACCGAATGTGAATTGATACCATCGCTTCACATCTTTGCAGTGCATCACCGTCAAAAGGCTCATTTTGTCATTTTTTGTTTTAGACATTTTGTTAACAAATGAATTGACGTACACAAGTTAACAAGAATATCATTAGATGAAGAAAGTCAAACAATCATCACCAAACGTATGGCATTGCGTGAGACCCCCTGGGGTGGCTAGACCTAGCCACGCAGAGTCCGCTTTTTCCTTTTTTCGGAAATCATTCTTTTGACCAGGAAAAATGCCGTTTATTTTTTATCAATCTTTTGTTAAGTGCAATTTTGATATAAATGTATATTTACATATAATGTATGAATATAATAAAGTTTGTAGATATGAGATAATAAAACCAATGCATTGTTGGTTATAAATATTATACTTCTTTTTTCTTGTCATTGGAAACTATTTTTTATAAATATTTCATTGTTTAATAGTAGGGGAGACTGAGGCTGAATGTTAAATTTAGAACAACTGTTTTTTTAGACAACAAAGAAAGCCAAAAGTCATTTGCTTAAAACCAATTTCTAGCACAAACTACTTCTGCAAGGGTTACATGCCAATATGACCTGTATATCTCCTTCGATGGTTTACATGCTATAATGAATTTTTGGTCCTTAGCAAAGACAAATATGGTTTCTTATGAACGTTCACGCTCTGCAACAATATTTCTCATTATTTTCTTAGTGTGAATATATAATTTTTAATTTCAAAACAAAACTTCTTCTAACTGGAATATTTTTTCAATTTTTATAATTTAGCACTAGATACGCGCTAATGGAATAAAATTAATCATAAAATAAAACATTACAATGTTCTTAAAACTGTAAATTTGTTTTAAAATCGTGTTAAAAAACTACGAAATTATAAAAAATTTTAAATATTCTTTATAAAGTAAAAATATTTAAATTTTGAAAAATGAAAATAAAATTATTCAAAATTTGAACAAATGGAAAAAAATTTTTTTTAATTTTAGAAAAAAGTATAGTTATTTAAAATTTGATAAAATGAAAATAAAATTATTTAAAATTTAAGAAAAAAGTATAGTTATTTAAAATTTGATAAAATGAAAATAAAATTATTTAAAATTTAAAAAAAAGTATAGTTATTTAAAATTTGATAAAATAAAAATAAAATTATTTAAAGTTTATAAAATTTATTTTTTAAAAATTAAAAATAATTAAGGTAAAATAATTAAAATTTGAAAAAATATAATTAATTAAAATTTAAACAAATAAAAATAAAATGAATTAAAATTTAAATACAAAAAATTATATAAAATTTGGAGAAATAAAAGTATTATTATTTAAAATTTGGATAAAATTAAAAAAAAATTATTTAAATTTGGAAAAATAATATTATTTGAAGTTTATAAAATTTTTTTTAAATGTAAAGTAATGAAAAGTTTAATACTTAAAATTTTTAAAAATAAATTTAATTAATATTTGAAAGAATAAATTAAAATTGTAATTTAAATAAAATAAAAATTAATTAAACTTTAAAATAATAAAATTAATTTCAAATTTAAAAAATAAAAAAATTAAACTTTTTAATAAATGAAAATAAAATGAATTAAAATTTGAAAAAATTAAAATAAAATTTTTGAAAAGTTT